AAATGAACATTTTTGATTTTAGCAAATGGCTGCAATGAAACAAAGAGAAAAATTTAAAGGGGTCTGAATACTTTCCGTACCCACTGTATATATATTTATATATATATGCTGCAGTCCTTTAAACCATCTTTAATGCTGGAGATTAGAAAGGCAGAGTTCGGTCTGTACTGTGTTTGTTGAACTGATGACTTGAGCTGCGTGTCTCATCCTCACACACACCGACACACTCGGCTTCTTGTCTCATGTGCACTTTAAAGAGCGACACCCGTGATGAAGAGTTCTTTGTTTCTCGGAGGATCCATTTCAGCGGACGAGCCTCATATTTTTAGCGGCCAACCGCCTGGTGGGAAGGCTGATGAATAAACAGGAGTTGGGGGCCGCCTCGTTATTATTTACGTCCATCCTTCCTGCAGCGCCGCGTCCCACTGTGGGCCGCAGGATGAATGATGCTTCTAGAAGTTCCCTAATGGACAGACGGATGGAGAGGGGGGGAAACGGGAGGTGAAGGGACCAATCACTCCTTCCTGTTCAAATGTTTTAGATAATAGAGGCCGGAGATCCATCACGAGGAGGTGCGACGGGGGTCCAACAATGGATGGATGAACGGATTAAACACCATGCGAGGGGTCAGCTGTGTTCCACGGATCAGGGATTTTAAACTTAAGTGAAATGGTGATTAATTTAGTCCTAAACACACATGTCCTTAAAATATATCATTTATTTCATCTTTTGGGGAACAAATCACGTAATTTATCGAACAGGAGAAAAGTTTGGGAACTTCTAATTTACAAAAACAAAATAGACATTATTTACAACATTAACAAAAGGCAGATGTGTACACACACACACACACACGTATGGCTGTAGGTTCTTCCACTCTGCATGCTGATATTATTTCCCACCTGCATCTGAAACATCACCCGTCTCTTGTGTTTCGTGTGTCCTCCTGCAGATCGTGGGTCCCGCTGACGGATCGAACTACATCGTGGATTATTACGGCGCCCGGCTGACCCGCCTGTCCATCACCAACCAGACCTACAGGAAGCCACACCTGTCCCTGTGAACACACACCGATGCTGTGAGTTGACGGAAGAACCGAGAGTTCAGCCTTGAATAGAATGGAACTTCTGCTTCTCTCATGAGTCCGTTGTCCACACACAAACTTTGAGTCGCTTCTGCCAGCTCGTCTTTCTCCATAGAGTTTGCATTTCAGACTGTTTCATTTCATTATAAATGCCATTTCTATTTATTTTAGACAGAAAAGGGTTGAGCAGGTTTCTAACTATCCACAAAGAACGGCCAGTGGTCTATTAATGAATGGAGCAAGTCACTGCATTTTCCACAACACCGTCCTGCAAATATTTCAGAATAACAGCCTTGCGTTAACAATGAAGGGATTCTGTCCACAGAAAGACCCTAGAGGGCTTTTATTTTGAAACAGATTATTTATTTAACGGTTTGTGTTACTGTGTTAACAGTAAAACATTCAGGTGACTTCACAATACAGATACACCGTTATTGTAAGGTGTGAATTAACACTCATGTTGACAAGCGCTTTACCACAAACTTACTGTTTATTTCAGAAACCTAAATAAAAATAGCTTAAAAAAAATATAAAATACAGTACAGGTAGAAAAACTGTCGGCTCCCAGAGCCTCAAATGCATCAAGAGCAAAATGTAGAGAAACACGTCATTTTACAACCAACACTTGATTCCGAAAGAAGAAGCTGAACTTCACAGTTCAATGTCACACACACACACACACACACACACACACACACACACACACACACACTGCCCTCTCATAGGACCGAGTGGTTAAATATCAGTTTAAAGTCAACATGAGGAAGGTTTCTCAGGGTATAAAGAAGTGACACAGGATGGAACAGAATCCACTTCGCCTAATTTGGATCCACAAGTTTGTCAGAATGTGTGCAGCCAGAGTACAGTGGTGGAAAGTAACAGTAACTAGTACATTTACTTGAGTATTTCCATTTAAACTGCTCCACTACATCACAGAGTGACGTATGTATCTGACAGCTGTAGTCACTTCACAGATAACAGTATTACACAGAAAACACTAAAATGGTATATTGTGGAGAATTGAACTACAAAAAATATATAAACTTTTACTTTTAACGGAGTATTTTTTACAGCATAATATTGCTACTTTCACTTTAGTAAAAGACATTAATACTTCTTCCATCAGTGTCTTGTATAGGATGTTAGATATGTGCACAAATAAGATGTCTGATGAACTACTTTGAACACTATTAATTCGGTTATAGTCTGTTCATCTGTGCGCATTAATTCTGAATACAATATTAAAATGAATTACGAGTATACACTTTAAACATTTTTTATATCCCATGAAACCTGCCGGGTCATTAGTCTAAATAGTTTGATACTGACATTACCTTTTTATGATTTAAAAAAAAAACAAGAATATAGATTTCTCTGTTAGTATGATGAAGATATGACTGTCTTTTTTCTCTTCAGGTACGTCGTGTAAATACACGACAGAGGATCTACTCATCTTTATCGACGCGCTGACCCTGACATTGAAAAATGAACAGTTTAAGGATCAAAGTTCTTCAAACCAGCATCAACCGACCGACCAGAAGGCATTTACTCTGCTGTGTCAGCATGTTTTTTAGCTCATTAACTCACAAACTGTAAACCTTCACATCTCGTCACTTTAGGTCATATTTCTATCTTCACATCTGTCCAGCTGGTCAGTTTTCTGTTTTATTCAATAGGATTTTGTCGTAGCATATTGTATTATTATTATTATTGTGATGTTTCGCTGCTGTTTCATCTTTAAGTTATGATGCTTTTCCACGACAACAGACTTTGTAAATAAAAAGTTTCTTTTTGTGTTAATCTACGTTTGACTGTTTTTATTAAACATCGCCACCGTGTTTGGATTTGATGTTTGCTTTGTTTAACAGGGTTTTTTGTTATTCTGTATTTTAGTCATGTGACTGGACCTCTGCTTTGTTCTGTTGTTGTATTTGATTGTTTCTTATTTGTCTTTATAAATGTTTGTATGAGGAGGATACAAACTGGAAACTCTCAAAACCATAGATATAATTCCTCTGGTAACTTCAAGTGACGCACCTCTGAAGTGAAAGACTACTATAAATGATGCTTAAAAAGGAAAACATTTTGCACAAACAGCACCATAAACAATAAAGTTTGTGATAATAAATCTCTCATAACTTCTGCCTCATGTTATGACACAAATCATGAAAGGAAAAATGCTGCTTTTTCCCTTGTTCTTGATAGATAGCTTATTTTGCAATTTTTTTTTTAACATTGTTATTAATTAACCGTTTAAATACAGCCCACGTTTGCAGTGTATTTACATACTTACTTCCATATTCTGTTATTTAATACTGCTATAATATTCTACTTGTTTTTACTCCCCTACATTTAGTTGATAACTTAAGTTACTTTGATCAACTAATAAGTATTAATCTATAAATGAGACTTTATTGAACCCTGGAGGGGGATTCAGAAACCACCCATCACCCACCAATTCTTCGTAGCATAGATTCAACAAGGTGTTGGAAACATTCCTCACAGATTTTGGTCCATATTGACACGATGGCATCACGCAGAAGCTGCAGATGTGTTGGCTGCACATCCATGATGCTAATCTCCCGTTCCACCACATCCCAAAGGTGCTCTATTGGATTGAGATGTGGTGACTGGAGGCCATTGGAGTACAGTGAACTCATTGTCATGTCCAAGAAACCAGTTTGAGATGATTTGAGCTTTGTGACATGCTGCATCATCCTGCTGGAAGTAGCCATCAGAAGACGGTTACACTGGTCATAAAGGGATGGACATGGGCAGCAACAATACTCAGGTGGGCCGTGGTGTTTCAACGATGCTCGATTGGTACTAAGGGGCCCAAAGTGTGCCAAGAAAATATTTTCTCTTTTTCGGACCATTCTCTGTAAACCCTAGAGATGGTTGTGCGTGAAAATCACAGTAGATCAGCAGTTTTTAAAATACTCAGACCAGCCCCAACCAACAACCATGCCACGTTCAAAGTCACTTAAATCCCCTTTCTTCCCCATTCTGATGCTCGCTTTGAACTTCAGCAAGTTGTCTTCACCACGTCTAGATGCCTAAATGCATTGAGTTGCTGCCATGTGATTGGCTGATTAGCTATTTGTGTTAACAAGCAATTGAACAGGTGTGCCTAATAAAGTGGCCGGTGAGTGTATATCAAGTAATAAGAATGGGCTCCAGCTGTAACATTAAAGTATTAATGCATCAATGATTATTCTGATATGGGCCATTCTGCATAGTGAGTACTTTTACTTTTGGTACTCAATGAATATTTTGATGCTATTACTTGTGTACTTAAAGATTTTTTATATGATATTCAGAGCATTAATGTAGCAAAAAAACAACTATTGTCAACAA